TATTTTTAGGTGCATACTGTGTAATGTGTATCTATGAAATTGAAACCTATCCAATTTGGTATTTAAATTATTTATATTTTTTCAACAGTTTTTAAAATTACATGTTTTTCAAAACTACATTAAAAAATGCACCCGAAAAAGTAGCAAAAAATTAATAGAATTTTACAAAAGTAGTAACCAACTTTACAAATATACAAAAGTCCAATAATGAACCTGGAATCCAAACAATGATATACTAATAATATACATGATAATTGATATATCTTTGTTTTTTGATATATTTAATTAAATGTACTGTTGATATATGATTATGAATGTGAAAATAGCAACAATATACTTAGCATGATGTATTATAATTCAATGTCTCTTATTGAACTGTTGTGTTTAAATATTTTGGATGAAATGTATGTCCATTTATCACTTAAATGTTTGCCTTATTTTCTCTTTAATATGATGTAAATTGGGATAATATCTTCCTAGGTATATCTTTAATTAAGCCAAATCAATTAGAGATATTAAAAAGAAAAAAGGAACGCACCAACACATATGAAATAATAATTTTAAACTCTTGGTTGCCATTCACTAATGAAATTAAATTTCAAGTGATTATTGATCGACCCTCGTGGATTTCTATTTTTTTAGTACAACCCTTATGGAAATTAAATAAATAGATGTTTTGGTGGGGTGAAAGGAGATCGATATCTAGTTATCCTAACGTTATCTCGTCCCATAACCTTCCTGTAGTTATTATTTTCTCACATGTATTTTTATAATTTGAGGATAAATACATAGTTTTGCGCTCATATGATACTGGGTAAGATTTCACTTGCACTATGAAAAATGGCTCACAAATCTTAAAAATGAAAGCCTCAGAGGAAGAAAGTAAGAGTAACCACCGTTGCTTGCTTCTTTAAGTTTGAGATGCAATTTGATAAACTAAAACCTTTCAAGTTTCAAGTTTAAAATTCATACGTACAGGTACAAGGAACAACCATGAACTTGTCAAGTCATTATAGAGGCAAGTACTTTGAAGAAGTGGGTCAAAACCCTATAAAAACCACCCACCAAAGATATTAATATGTTACAAAATTCTCGACATCCAAATGTTGTATGATTAGACGAAATGTCTCATCTAAAAAGAAAAATTAAGTTCTAGGGGGGAAAATGAAATCTTCTCTAATTTTATCTACATTACAAAAGGCTTGTGAAGCCAACAAGTTTCAATTCATTGGATAAACTATAGAGCTTATCTGCATATGACATTTTATATATAAAGTAGAGAGAAGAAGAACTTACAATTCAGTCAAGTGAATGGACATCTTAGACTCATCATGGCAGTCATATTCAGCCACTGCTGCTGATAAAGCTATGAGATCTGATTTCTAGAGAAAATTGAGTTCAATTTTCAGTCTCCTCTAAAACTTGGGATGAATATCTGACCTATTGCCTCAAGTGCAGAAACACTCCAGCTCTCAGCATGCCTCACTATCTGATAGGATGAAAAATGGAATAACACTCAAATATTGGGGCTAACACATGCAAGTTTTTACTCAATCGTAAATAGCTAAAAATGAAATCTTCTTGACAAAGCGAGCACCGCTCAGCGTTAATTGGTATATATTTCCAACTAAGAGGTTGTGAGTTCGAACCCCCACCTCTACATGTTGTACTAAAAAAAATGAAATCTTCTTGCCTACCCTCCAGGGTGATAAGCCCCATTGAAGAAAGTGTATTCGAGAAAGAGAGGAAGCAAGAGTGGGGCGAGTGGGCCCTAGTTCGTTAAGGGGCTATACGAGTATTTTGTAAAGAGGGTAATACACCCACGGTAGAAGGTAGGGGTATCTTTTTGTTTATTTTGTCTAAGGACTGTTTATCCTCCCTTGACCCTTGTAATGCCTTCTGAATATCAACCATAGAACAGAGTTCGATAATTATAAAGTACACCTCCTTAGAAGGCAAAATTTGCAATTTTTCTAATATCAAATATGATTTTCGTAAAATAATTTTGGAAATGCAGTTTTTTGGAGGATTACTGATTCTCACTTTCAACTCTTCATCTAGTTCGTAGAGTGTACTTCCATGAATAGTAATGAGTGGCCTCCATGGAAGTTTCAGGTATGTCCTGAAAGGTAATCACATGAAAATAATGAATATTGGGAATTTCTACTGATGTGGGAAAATTTGAATAACTGAGGCGACGACCAGCAATTGGAAGAGGAATATGAGGAAAACTGGAAAAGGATGCTTGAAAAATACCTATGGCATGTTAACATTCTTTTGGAATTCATACAAGGAAAATAGTTTTTTCTTTTTAATCTGAAAACCAGCTTTCACCGCGAAAAAATGACAAAATAATGAAGGGCATACAAAAAAAATCCAACAAAAAGTGCCGCTTAGCAACTAAACTAACTATATAGAAAAGGGCTCCAATTCTAAAGGGCCAATTCCTGAAGGATAATTACAAAATCCCTTAGTAAGAGACGCATAAAATGAACGATACCGCCCCGCACGACCTTTCATACAAAGAAAAGCTCAAATCAAAAATGAAGGAATCCCCAGCACTCCAAAGCCTCGAGTACTTCAAAAGAATGCAATTGGACTAGGATCTGATTTGATATAAATAGGAGAAGATTTGGTTAACTACCTTAGTTTCCAGGCTGCCACCACAAATTCGACTCCAGATTTGTTACCCTTCATTCATGTATATCATACAATCAGTAAACGTCTTTTAAGGAATAAACAGAGAATTTGAAGCACAAGTTTAAGAGTCAAATGTGAAGATGCTGAAGAACAAAATATTTGGGGCTTATTCGTCCCATAATATGAATAACTTAATGATATTTTAGAAGCTACAACAGAAAATATAACATTCTTTGGGAAAACCAAATGGCTTGTCCATGAAGAAGATGCTACTCACTCGTCCTTTACTTACTAGCCAAAAACATCCTAGATATAACAAATTTTGGTTCCCCATGACGACTGGTTGAGACTCAAAATTATTGCAGTCATTTTCCATGATTGGGAGATATTAATAATAAACACAGTCCATTTACTCGTAAATCTAAAGAAGAAAGATTAAACTACAAGAACAAATCACCTTATTGATTTTTTGTAGTTGGATTGATGGACAATCAAAAAATGGAACAAGTAACTTTAAGTTCCGTGAATACAGCTCCTTACCTATAGAGTAGAAGTCCATAAAGCAACTTTAAGGCATGAAAAGATTGTTAAATCAACGTATTCTATCAAAGCTAAAGAATAATGAATCCAGTCTGTGCTCTTAGCAGGATAAGAGACAATATATGCCTTCTAGTTTTGAGTTAATGAATTCTTCAGCATTTGGTAACAACAAAATACAGATTTTATCGTTGTGATAGTGGACTATATAATCTTTGTTATTAAAAATTTCTGTGATTATAATTACCTCGAAATTTGATGGTGGGATCTTCAAAGAGGCAATCGTCAGCATAAATTTCAGAAGTGAATATCCCTGTTTCCAGTATATAAGTCATCACAAAATACCCTTCCAGAGCTTCATTACCCTTCCAGAGCTTCATTTCTGATTTTACGCAGCAGTTACACACAGCACCCGCTACGTATTAAAGGTTCTCTAATTTGCAGTTTTACAATCTCCATATATAAGTTTCAAGCAAGAAATTGCTTATAATATAATACCTATAATACCAGTTGCATAAAAAGATAGTGATGAGCCACGATTTTCAAGCTTAGATAGCATTCAAGAAAACGTTTCATAATTCAAGTATTAAGTATAAAGAGCAAATCCTAGTATTTGAACATGTACTCATTGGTCAAGAGAATTCTGGGTTCTAGTATTTGTAAAACAAACTGAAAATAAGTTGTCAATAGTTTGAAAATATACACCGATGGATAATTACTTTCATAAAGGAAGATGTTAAAGTATTGATAAATGATTAACATGGTATAAGAGAATGAGGTCTTTATGTTAGACTAATTAATATCCATTTCTTGGACCTTGTGCAAATTTCTAAGTTGGGAGAGTGTTAAAGTATTGAACCCTTCACTTAAACTTTTGGGTTTAGGGTGTGATTTAAGTTTCACAGAAGAACTCAGAAATCCAAGTATTTCAAAGGATGGCGGAGAATCAGCAAACTATACCAGAGCAGCCATAGAAGTATGAAAAATAAATATACCTGTAACGAAGTAAGCATTCTTGTAATCTGATTTCAGGATGTCCAGAACATCATCAACGCCTGCAACTACAAACTCCTCTTTCTGATTGTCCCCAACTCCATCAAATCTGCAACTCAGACATAGACCAAAGAGAATTGAATTCATATGTCCCGGTCGCATTTTCATGAACCATTTAGGCGTCGAACTAAGCAAAAGGCAACAGAAATTGGAATTACGAAACCATAATTTCCCTCAGAAAACAAAGAGAGCGCCGATTCCGGCACGAAATTACCTCTTAGAAGAGGAGAAAAGCCTAAGAAGCTCCGTGACTCCACTCACTGCAATTTTAACAATCGGAGAGGCCTCTTTCTTCCGGCGACCACCAGAATTATCCGGCGAGCTCGAGAAGCATCGTACGTCGTATTTCGTCTACCAAAAACGAACGGCTCAGAGTAAATTGGAGAGTGTAAGGATCAGAGAAGACGGTAAGTTGAAATGATACAGACCTTGGGGGATAGAGATGAAGGAAGTGGTGGAGAGCAACAGATTCCGGCCATTGGCCTGTCGGAGACAGAGACTGCTTCGTCCGTCTTCCAGACTCCGGCGTCGAACAGCCTCTCTTCCGATTTCGTCCGGCGAGTCAGCGAAGTTGCCATGTCACGCGCCACGTATAAGGAATTTAATGTTTTACTCTTTTTTTTTTTTGGTAAGTTGTTATTTTTCATTTTCTTTTAATCTATATTATATATAGGTCAAATTATTGTTAAAAAAAGGGTTAAATTATAAATTTTATTTCTTAATTTATAAAAAATTATGGGCTTCAACTTACATGCCAGTGGTTATAAGCTTATTCGTCAATATTTCGAGATAGCACGCACAAAAAGATTTTCATGTCACAAAAAATAATAGGGTTGTGAAAAACATACATCGTACCTATGCACATATTCTTTTTTTATAGGCAGAGTCTACTTGAGTTAGCTCAAATTGACCGACTTGAGTGGATGACTCTACTCTACATGATTCGAATAGCTTGACCTAAGCGATTCGACTCATGTCCCTTCTTTAACCTCATCTATTGGGCACGTATAAAAACTAAATTTGAATATTATATTTCTTGCCTACTTCAATAAAATTTTTAATTATTTTTAGTTTTACCCCATTATGAATAGATGGATTAACCAATAAAAAAAATCGTTAATTTGAATTATAACGTTTGATTGTTAAATTGCAACTACAATTGTCTGTGTTTGGTACTAGATTAGTTGTTATGATTTTAAATATTTTAATTTGATGATTATAATTTGGTTAAATCTTTCTAAAGTTCAAACATTTATAAAATTACTAAATCTATTTTTCTTACATGATATATCTTGTGGGAAAAATTATGTCAAATAAAAAAATAAATTTGAAAAACATGTCAGGTATGGGTGTTCACGGGTTGGGGGTGTTTTTGGGACCAACTCGAATTCGGGTTGGAAATTTAAGAAAACCGTCAGGTTATAAAACGATGGTCAACCCAACCCAACCCTAGCCAATAAATTCAGGTTGGGTTGCCGGGTTCTTTTTTTTTTTAATTGATTAATTAACTTACTTTTGTCTTGTTTATAACATGGACCAAAAAAATATAGAAAAATCAAAATCTTAATTTAAACACAAATCCAAATCCTAATTGAAACCAACATGTAAGTCTTAATGTAATACAAATTTTAAAATTTTACATTATCTAAAGTTTATCTAGATTCCAAATCCAAATTGAAACCAACATGCAAGTCATAATTCAACAATATTAAAAGCTTAAAAGAGATGGGGGAGAGGAAGATGAAATTGAAAATGTTAGAGAAGAGGGAGAATCAAAGATTCAAAATGGGGAGGATTGAATTGAAACCTAAAATCAATGGTTGAGGTTAATGAAATGGATGGATGAGATTAAATATAAAAAAAAAATAAAATTTTAATTAATAATTATTAATTTATTATATATATGTAATATTATATTATTATTTATATATAAAATAAAAAATAATAAAAAACTTATAATCTCGGGTCGGGTCGAGTTGATCCGGGATTTTCTGAATACTCCTAATGTCAGATGAGATAATATTAATACTACAAAAATATTTAACAAAAATACACATATAAAATTAAAATTTTAAAAATTAAGGGACGAAATTGAAATGAAATAATAATTCAACGTTCTAATTATTAAAAAACTATTTAAAAAAAATGTAACAATTTTTTTTTCACCTCAAATTTTGACTCATAATTGAGAGATGTGGGCATTTGAGAACATCCCAATGAAAAGTTTCAATCCCATCAATGCTTCAAATGGGGCATCATTGCAATTCTTGAGAAGTTGTCAAGAAAAAGCTTCCAAAAAAAAATGGCAAAGGCCATGATGTACCAAAAAGAATTGAACCAAATTTTTAAAAAATCATTATTGTCTCTTCGGCATGATATTCCTCCACTATTACTTCTTTTTAATATCGATATGGACAAAAATGTCAATATTAGAAAATATCCCTAAGAATATTAACCTCGATAAGTATTTTTGCAAAATGATAAAAATCAATAAGGATTAATTAATAAATTAATATTTTATATTTTTTAAATGGGATATAGGCTTGAACATAAGTCTATATTCATATTCATATAGTTGGTTAAAAATGTCAGATATTGACGAATTAACATTTTCGTATCATTCTCTTCGTAGTTTATATGTTCTTTTCTTTATGAACCTATGCATGTTAAGAGTTGTTTTAGATGAAATAATATTATGTTAAATTAGTGGGAAAATAGGAAATAGGTTGAAATTTGATAATATAGATATGAATGTAAAATTGTTAATAAGAATAATTGGAAAATAATAGATGTGAATATTGATGGAATAACATGTTAACAACCTCAACAATAAGATGTGTTCTAAAATAATGCATCATTTTGTTTTTACTTATTACAACAAACATGGTTTGAACCTCTAAACTCAAGTGATTGAACAAGATGCCTTTAATCAGTGAATTAAGTTCATGTTGGCAATGCATAATATTGGTTAGTAATGCATAATCGTACATTTTACAATTGGATTGACATTTTTACCTTTAAAACTAGGCTAAATTTTTAAAAACGACAAATTAAATCTATGTAAAAAATAAATAAAATGGTTATTAGAGAAATATGTATTATAAACATAGATCCCGATAATTGCAGGTGAGCCCCACGTGGCAATTTGGAGGAATTCTACTTGTGAAATTTGTAATTATAAGGTGTAAAAGGGTACAAAAGCAAAAGAAGTAGCTAGCTAGCAAGCACAATGTTTCATATTCAAAGAGATATGCCCTTTACATTTCAAACTATTGAAAAATTAAAATTATTAGCTTCAAATATAAGCAAAAGTTGATGTTGGAGGACACATGACCCAAAAATGTGGGACAGTTGGACAAGATGAACAATAAAAGGGAAATAAATATACCAAAGATAAGGTATAATTTGGGAAATTCATCTCTTCAAAATCATAAGGTAAATGCCACCTCCAATAAGCTAAGCTTATCTTCTTGAAAATAATAATTCAAATGCACATTGTCACAAGATGTTGGTCATGTGATGATAATGATGATGGGTTATGGCAATGCTGCCCAAAATAAAAGGATGCAAGTCGAAATGTTTTGGGAGAAAAAGAATATCGAAGGTGTCAATTGATTCAATCAGTCTAGTCGATTCATGCGTTAGATTGTTAGTCGCTTTAGCTTTTGTATAATTTAGTTAATGAAAATATTCAAATACTCTACAATTTTGGTATTGGAATCACTAATATAGTACATAGGTTGCTTACCGACTAGAAAAATCACTTGTTGTATTAAAAGAAAAGAAATAAATAGAGGTTGAAACTATTTAACGTGATTTACGTTCAATATAACGGTACCTATGTATACTAAATAAATGTTACTTATAATGATATATTTGAATTCAGTCAATTATAACTTTTTAAATATATGTTTTAAGAAACTAACATAAATATTAAAACGAACGGTAATTGACATATATCCCATATCAACTTAAATCAATCTTCAACCTGAAAATAACTCAACTAAACAACCACCGCCAATCATTTTTTCTTCCTCCCCCGTGAAACTCATGCTCAAAATAGATCTAAAAAGATCCTATAATTATTCAAAAAAAAAAAAAAAAAAGATAACACAAAATTTTAGGAGACAATTTGCAAAAAGTTTGGATGTCATATAAAACGTGAAATGGGCTTTTAAAAGCGCTGGCCCATAAGGTCCAAGTCCACGTAGATCTTTTGCTAACGCACGCCAACTACTTACGGACAAACCGCACGTGAACTCCACGTCTCATAAATCTCCCCAATTAACTAACAAATCTCACTCTTTATTCCATCTCCTTCCCCCACTCTCCCCCGGCGCGTGCCTCCCTTCGCCAATCCTTGGATTCCAAATCCTTCTTTGGCATCCCGATTGAACTCGTCTTATTGGTGCGTGCTATTCACGCGCTTGCGTGTTCATATTTTTTAAGTTCCATCTGTTGCCAGCTGGAAAAGGAATATTTTGAGTCACCCCAAATGTGAGGCCAAAATATTTCTATTTCATTTTAAATACTTCCCCCGTTCTTTAAAAAATGTTTTTCCAATTTTATTTAAAATGTTAAAATATAGTTTTGACTTATAATATTTATTCTATTTTTAATTTAGTTATTTTTTAGTTCAATGAATGGTAGGGTGAGAATTTGACCGTCTGATTTTTTAGTTGAATATCTATATTTATATTTTTTCGTACTTTTTAAAAGTTTCATTATCGTATATATAGAAAGATAAAAATTTATCGAGCGTCTTTACTATCGGTGAAAAACAACAAAAACCCAATGTTACAAGGTGAAAGTTGTTCGTAGTTGCACTATAAGACAAGTCGTATAAATCCAATGAGTATTATCATTATTTTTTTAGTACAAAGATTTGAGGATTCAAACCTTTGACTTTTAGGAAGGTAAGTAATGTTCTAATTAAATTGTGCTCGTGTCATAAAATCTAATGAAAATTATTGATTGCATTATGGTAAGATTAGACTCACACCCTTTCTACTTTTCAATCAAAACAGTACTTTAAAATCATACCCAAATTCATGTTTTAAGCCAACATGACTTGTCAGGCGCTCGTGCCATTTAAACAAAATGTAGTTCACTCTTTATATTCATAAATCTCTTATTACGTTGAATTTTTGTTATTCCTCAGACAACAAGAACGTCTAGAATGCTTTTAAAGTGTGTTCGAATGTCTTACCATCTCAAAAGTGTTGTGAAATGTTTCTACGATAAATATTTTTAGCAAAAATACATTAATTAACAAGCACTTAACTATAAGTGAGAGATAACGAAATGTCTTACCATCTCAAAAGTGTCGTGAAACGTTTTCTAGTCAAGTACTTTGTTCAAAAGTACTAAAAAAAACTATTATGTATTTTTGACTTTTTTACAAACATTTTTATATTACTTTTCAAACATGATGATTATGTAGGATAGGTAGAGAAATGATTTTGAGTGACCAAAAATACATCCGAACATACCCATTTTTTTAGAAGTTTGCATTAAAATACGAGGATGAAGATTCAAACCTACGATGCCTTCCTCGTTCATTTGTTTATTGAGGATGAGATTCATCTTTTATCTGAATTTTAGTGAGTAATAATTTAGTCTTTATAATTTAAAATTTGTAACAATTTAGTCCCTACCATGAAAATTCTTATCAAAATTAGATTTAGTCTTTATAATTCATAACACATTTGGTCCCTCGTTGGTGTATCGATCTACGTATATAACAAACTTAACAAAAAATTTTATGATATAGAAACTAAATCGTTACAAAATTTAAACACTCTAACTAATTGTTACATATTAAATGTGACTAAATCATTACAAACTGAAGTTAACAGACAAATCGTTACTTCAACGGAAGTACCAAAGCAAAAAATAATTTTAATTTTTTTTTGGTCTAGAGAGAGAAAAAGGGGGAGAGAGTATTTATTAAGCAAACCAATATGGATGGCAATGTACTGTTAATGTAAGGCCATGCATCATTCACATGTTGACCGAATAAATGTGGCATCGTGCCTTCCAATTACACGCCCCCACTTATTCCATGGTCCCTCTCTCATTCTCTAAATTACGTGTCCCTTTTCCTATCATTTTTTTTTTAAATTTATGCTCATATATTCATATCTTATAATATAGTTCTAGAATTATTCTCAAAATCTTAACTACTTTTTTTTGTTTGTTAGAAAAATATGTTTGATGGCAGTAGTTTTGGATTAACTGTTTAGTCTATAAATTTTAGTATGTAACAATTTAATCTTGTGAAAGGTCTCATCGAAATTAAGTGTCAATTCTTTTTTTATTGTATAACAATTTAGTTCCTGTAAGTTATAAATATATTTGATTATTTATCAGTTTATCCCATAGTTCTAAATATCCGTCGACACGTCGACATTTCTATCGACATATCCATGTTTTTACAGGTTCGACATGAGGGATAAATCGACATTTCCATCATGGTACAAGAAAATAGACTAAATATAAAAAAATATCAACAAAATGTTACTAATATATACATAATATTAATATTAATTATTTTAAACTAATTTAGAATCAAGAAAATGTTTATTTGTTAATTTAAATAATTTATAAGATTTTTTAATTTTTCTAACTTTTATAGAAATATCAATCGACATCGACATTTAAAATATTGGTATATATATATATATATATATATATTCTATTAAATTTTAACATTTTTTATGGGATTAAATTGTCATGAACTTTAAAATTTCAACTACAATGACTAATATATTACCCATTTAAAAGTTTGGATACTAAATCATTCTTTTAATGGAAATTATGGAAGTAAAAGCAAATTTTTTTAAACTTTTTTTTCCCTAATTCGTTTTCAGAATTAATTTATTGTTTGTAAAATTTGATTGACATCCCATCAAAAGCTACAAGTCTATTTTGTTGAGGACTCGGAGATTCTGAAAAATCTTGAGCTAGAGTCTTTATCAAGATCCTTATATATTTTTAGTATTATTATATATATCTATTGATAAAATAGTTAAGAGTCTTTATCAAGTTCACTGGATATTTATATTGTCATAAATTATAAAATTCAAAACTCCGTAGAATGATTGAAGCATATGTAAACTTTTGTAATAAACAAAATGAAGCACATTATTTTTCACAATCGAGTAAAAGTCAACAAAGACACCAACAAAAAATAAAAAGAAAAAAAAAATCATATTTTGATCCTAAAAATTTTATTATTCGATTTTGGCTCCTAAATTTTCAGAAAAATTGATAGAAAAACTATTTTAGTTATTGCCGCTATTTTTTTAATTATTGAACAAAAATCCATATTTATTTGTCTACTTGAAGAGTATTTATCTAGTCAACACTAAACAAATATTCACAATAGGTAAAGTTTCAAACATTAAAAAAAAAAAAATCAAAATTCCATCACGTGATTGATGAATGAAAATGAACGACTCTCAAGATAGATCTTTGATCACATATGGTTTTTTTAGTTCAACAATAGATGAAAATTGTTAACCTCTCTACAAGATATAAATAATTTATTATTTACTAGTTAAACTGTACTCGTAACAATTCAACATCAGATTTATGATGCATTTAGTTGGTGATTTGAAACTGAAAACAAAGTATTAATGAAGAACAAAGTTATATTCTATATTTTCAGTATTTTCGAAGATATATTTAGTACTTGGTGGTTAATTTAGAAATTTAATCTCATTTTAAAAAAGTGTTCAACATATTTAGTAATGTATTTATAAACCATTATTTCTAAATTTCGTAGAATCATTATTTTACAATATTATATAATTTGTAATATATATTGTATTTTACATGTTCTATTTTTTTAAAAATAAAATAAAATATAATTAATAATATGAATTATTATATTTATCAAAATTTAATATATTTTTAAAATTTAATTCTTCATTTTAAAGTTTTAAATTTAAAATTTTAAAAATTGAAAATACAAAAAATATTTTTCAAAATTTTCATATTTTGAATCATAGAGTAATAGATTCAGAGATTCTGAAAATAAGAAACAAAATGGAGATCAAACCGCCCATTAAAATTTTGAATTGAAAAAAAAATAAAAATTTTGGTTGGTTATTGGATAATATCTGAGAAGGGGGCAGTGATTTTACACAACATAGGATAGAAAAGAAGAAGTTGGGGATTTCCAACCCTGAATGTCTCTTTCTCTCTGCCTTGTCCTTTT